GAAGATGCATGCTCATAGAGGGTCAGTGCAGGTTTATTACAAGAACAGAATCCTACCAGCTGTCCAGACATCCTAAATACAATGGTCACCTTTGTAAATGACAGTGTTGTCACACACGGAGTTCAGTGGATTCCTATGATGAGATGTGCCATTGTTGACACTGAAAAAAAAATCTGTGTGCAGCACAGTGGCCTAATAACTAAATACTTGCCTTGCATGCACCGGGAACCCATATTGGTACCAGTTTTTGCCCTGGCTGCTGCACTTGCCATCCAATTCCCTGCTTGTAGCTTGGGAAAGCAGCCTTGGAACCCTGCACCCATGTGGGAGATCAGTAAGAAGCTCCTGGCTCCTGGCTTTGGATCAAGTCAGTCCCAATCATTGTAGCCATTTGGGAGTGAACCACCGGCAGATCTTACTCTCTGTCTCTCCTTCTGTCTGTAAATCTATCTTTTCAATAATAATAATAATAATAAAATAAGTCTTAATAAAAAGAAAAATCTGGCTACTTATTTAATGAAATCAGGCAAGTTTTCAAAAATTTCAAAAATTGAGGATAAAAGACCTTAATGATGACATTTCAACCACAAAGGAGGGGAAATTACAGTAAAAAGACAAGTAACATAACCACATGTAATGTGGTTAGATCCTGATTTTACAGAATGTGTGGTCTGACGTTGCAGTGCATGTATTGAGATTGGGCCTCCTCAGTTGCTGATATATTTACAGTGGGCAGCGTGTCCAGATGCACATGGGACATGATGGGCAGCCCATCTAGGGCAGTCGGGGATACCAATGGCCTTGTAAGAGGATAGAAAACAGGGTCCAGCAAGGTAGCCTAGTGGTTAAAGTCCTTGCCTTGCATGCGTCAGTCAGGATCCCTTGCAGGTGCCAATTCTCATTCTGGCAGCCCCCCCGCTTCTCATCCAGTTCCCTGCTTGCGGCCTGGGAAAGCAGTTGAGGACAGGCCAAAGCCTTGGGATCCTGCACCCACATGGGAGACCCAGAAGAGGTTTCTGGCTCCTGGCTTCGGATCAGCTCAGCTCTGGCCTTTGTGGCTGCTGGGGGAGTGAATCATTGGGCGGGAGATCTTCCCCTCCATCTCTCCTCCTCTCTGTATATCTGACTTTCTAATAATGATAATAATAATAATAATAATATGGAAAACAGAATAGAGTGGACAACTCTCCTGGCCAAGCTTTGTAGCATGTTTCTGCGTCTGTGGATGCACTAAGGTGGACTTTATCAATCAACAGACCTTGGAAAGATTTTTTTCAGCCCTGGAGCAATGAAACCAGCAACTTCTCAAGACTATCATCACTACTCATATTACACCTTCAAATCGCTCTTCTCTACTTTGGGATCTCTAAGGCGTTATTAAATGACTGTCCCCACTCCTGGGTGCTGATGTAGTTTGACAGCAAGGAGTGCTACCCTCTCTTCCTCCCTGGTGGACACAGGAGGAAAAAGAGAGAGAGAGACTGAAACATTTGTCCCTCCCACCTTTCTCAGCACCTGACCCTTCCCACCCCAATCAGAGGTCCATATGAGTGTGGATATCTCTCCACTACATAAACAATATTAAAAAGAAAAATTTCAAAAAAATTTAATAAATAGATTCCAATGTAAAAAAAAATAGATCCTGATATCAGCAAAAAAGGATTTTTTTTTCATTTTTTAAAAAACACTTTCTTCTCATAAATAGGGAAAATTTGGCACAGATTGATTGGATGAAGGAGTTATTGTTAAAACCATTGGGCATATTAATGAGAATGAGTTGATAATTGTGGCTTTTTAAAAATCCTTTAGAGACCCCTTTGGACTATAAATCCTGAGAATGTTTCCCTGGTGTGGGAAGGCATGACAGCTCTGGAAAGAAGTACCCCCGCCCAGCATTAATAGCAAGGATAAGGGATTACATTGACTTTCTCTTTTTCGCTTGTCTTGGCTTATTTTCTCAATGTTTATAAACATGCTCCATCAGGGACAATGGTACAGTCAGCACTGTGGCCAGGGCATAGCTGACTACAGAGCCAGTAGGGATTCCTGCCAGCGAGGAGCCGTGAGGCCAGCCCACGAGCTCAGGGAAGGAACCATCGTATTTGGCACCACCCACCCTGGCACAGCTCAGGACTGAAGGGCACCTGCCAGCTGAGGTCTGCCTTCCTCCCACCATCCTCACCCTCTCTCCACTGTCTCCATTAGACTGATGAACTCCCCACTCTGACCACACGTGGTCTCCACAATGTGACCCCAACAGGGACAAGTCACGATTCTTCACCCAGCTCTGGGCTGTGTAGACCTCTTGGGGTATGTGTGGGAGACCAAGACAAGGTGAGGTATAGGACATAGGTGTTTCCATAGGTGGCTGTCCCCTTCGCAAAGTGTGCATGCGTGCACACACACATAGTGCTGAAACCAGAGAAGACTCTCCCACTCATTCCTGAGAAATATTCCTTAAAGCAGTTCTCACTCCCCAGGACCTCTGGGTGTTGGGGACCCACCCCATAAAACACAAGTGCACAGAGACCTCAAGATCCCCTGGCACAAGCTTTCTGGTACTAAGGGACGGAGCTAAGGCTCCGACTGAGAAAATGACTTGGCAAGTCACACGAGGAGTTTGCAGCAGCCCTGGGATTAGATAGAAGCCAGGAATCTTGGTGACACACTGCCTCTCACAGGCCTGACTAGTCCAAGCCCTGGAGAACAAGGTTCCTCCTGGCCACCCCTCCTGCCCACCGCAGTACGGATCAGGAGATACACCGAGTAGTCTGCTGGAGGGAACTCTGTCCACATGCCGTGCCCACCTGCAGCCGCCCAGAAAAGGAGCTCATGTTTGAGTCAGCCAGGACCTGTGAAGGAGCAGGAAGGTGGTACAGATGGGCAGAGCTGAGGGTACAGATGGGCAGAGCTGAGGGCACACAATGGGCAGCTTCGACATGGCAGCAGCCAGCCCTCAGCCCAAAGGCACTGCCTGCAGCAAGGCAATGAGCTCTGCTGAGTGTCACTGCTGCCGCTTCCCACCTTGCTCCTTCCTAAGCCCTGGCCAAATTCCACAGGTGGAGGGAGGACAAGCAGTGTAGAGAGCTGCCTGGGGATCCAGGGATAGGATTTCTGATGGGGCACTGCAACCTGCAGCCAGCCCACCATGTATGTAGTCCAGAGCCAAGTGGACCTTGCTTTTCCTGTCATTTGTTCTGAGTCTAGGTTGGCCTCATGAGCAGGGGACAAATCTGGAAAAAGGTAAACATTGAGGAAACCCTCTCTCTCCGGCTCCCAATCTCTGGCTCTGCCAACTCCCAGCCCGGCCTGCTTTGCACAAAATAGGAGCTAGAGAAGACAGGACTGTGGCCTTGGATCAGGAAGACTGAGAAGGCAAAATTGTGGACCTAATGTGATGGCTCAGTTGGCTAATCCTCCACTTTGCAAGTGCTGAGATGCATATCTCAGCTGCTCCACCTCCTATCCAGTTCCCTGCTTATGGTCTTGGGAAGCAGCGGAAAATGGCTCAAAGCCATGGGATCCTATACATGCTTAGGAGACCCAAAAGACCCAAAAGCTCCTGGCTTTGGATCAGCTCAGCTCTTCTCTGGCCATTGTGGCCATTTGCAGGTGTGAACCAGTGGATGGGAGATGTTTCTGTCTCTCCTCTCTGTAAATCTGCCTTTCCAATAAAAAAAAAATCTTTAAAAAAACAAAGTAAGGTGGTGGGAAACCAGGCATTGAAGCCAGGAGTACCTGCAGTAGCTCCTACGTGTAGGAGGGAGTTACTATACCCCACGTGTCCTTTTCTCACTGGGGGGTGGGGTGGGGAGGGGATGGTCTGTAACACAGCCTCCCTGTCCCCCATGAGGTTACCCATCGTGTCCTTCTCTCCAGCTCTCCACCCGTCCACCCCACCCACCCTGGTGTTGGGAGTGCCACCTGGGTGGCGTCCTCAGTGTTGACTGAAAGTGAACTGGTGCCAGGTGGTGGTGACAGAGCACACAGAGGCGGCCCGGCCTCCTGAGGTTGGGGAGCAAATGGGGAATTCATATTCTTGGTTCCGGGACTGATTTACTGAGTCATTCAATATTGTTTGAGTGCTTAGTAGAGGTGGTGGTAGGAATGAATTCCTGGGCTTCTTTGGCTCCTTTTAGCTAGAAACATGTTTCTGGAAGGCTGCAGAGAAAAGGGAACCCCTGCTCCAGCTCAGTGATACTAACTTGGGCCTTCATGGCTCTGGTCACTCACAGAGCAGCCAGGCCTCAGCACATGCTTACACACACCATTTGTACCAACTCCACCTGCTCCACCCCTGGCAGAGAGCTGGGATAGACAGCTGGAGAGGTACAGGGCCCAGGGTTTCAAACTGGGAACAATCTCTGCTTCTTGGTTGCCCAGTGAGAAGGAAGCCTGGCATGGGGAAGGTGGTTCTCAAGCTGGCAGAGGAATGGACAGATTTCTCAGGAGTGGAAGTACAGGCCACTTCAAGTGTTGACTGAGACATGCGCTGGCTGTTTCCACTGTTGGGGAATGCAAGCAGGCTTGATCTCATGGTGGGGTGGGGGTGGAAGAAGAGGTTTTGTTCATCTGGTGAGTTTTTCCATTGTCCCTGATCCAGGAAAATCGGTCCCTTTTCTTCTACTTTTACCCCTAAACTCAACAGCACTCATCAGTAGAAAACACTGAACTCTCAATTATACTTGCTGACTATTCCACCAGTCACAAAAATTTTCTTGAAAATTGACCTCTGGGCCAATTCAGTCTTAAGGAAATCATCCCTTCTGGTAAGCCCCTCATCCCCCATCCAGACAGTACCCACGCCACCAGCAAGCCAAGGGCTGAAGATGGGGAGTTTTCCAGTCCCCCAGGAAAGCTCCCCCACCCCAACCTGTCCAACCCCGTGCTCTGCTTGCCAAACTGTTGAGCAGGAACAGGCCATTCTGGCCTCAAGTCCCCTGAAGCACCCCGCTTGTTGTTTTGAAGGCACACCAGCTGCTCTGTGTAAGGCTTTCTGCTCATCATGAATTCTGGTTTTATTCTTCCCATTCACAGGACACCTCTGTGTCAGAGCCCACCCCTGCCCAGCCATTCAGCCCTGAGACACCGAGAGGGTGGGGACGAGGACAGACATCAGGGATTCTGGTCATCGGGGTCACACTTGAGCATGACTTTGACTCCCAATCCCTTTCTGGATGTTTCGAAGGCCTCCAGCGCTTTCTCCAGAGGAAACCTATGAGTAACTAAGGGCTTGACGTTCACAGACTTGGATGCAAGCATGGAAATTGCTATTGGCCACCTGCCAAAAAAAAAAAAAAATCAAATGTGATAGTCAACCTCTAGGAAGAAAATAAACCAAAAACCCAGACCTCAAAGCTACAAAGCATAGCCAGTATTATAGTATCACAGCCCAATGGGCGAGGCTGCAATGACCTTGGCCTGACTCCAACTGCCCCCACACCTCCTTACTGCCCTCTGCAGTGCCTTCCTGGAAGCCCACAATTTCCCTGGTTAGGGAGGCTGCAGGGAGAAGTTTGTGGGATACGGGGAGGGACAGGGGAAGGCGCCTTGGCCTCAGGCAGACAGCCCAGGGTAACCTGGCCAGACCCACTGGCAGTGGTCCCTGGAACCCGGGAGGGTCTGTGATGGGCAGACTCCAAAGCCAAGGGCAAGGATGACCCAGGGGTAGAGAGTCCTCCAATAGGAGAGGGAGGAGCTTGCAAAAGCATGGGAAGAGTGTATCACACCCCACTACCTCCCAGGGTAGGTCCTGGGGCTCAGGGGACTTGATGTTTTGCTTTTGTCCTCCTTTTCCCCCTCTAACAGGACCATTGGAAAAGAGGACCCACGGTGGGGTGGGGTTGGAGGTGGTGTAAGTGATGGTGGGATAGTGGAGGTATCAGAGTGTGCTTCTGAATCCCCTCCCTCCATCCCAGGAGCAGGCTGTTCTCTCCTGGCTCCCTATCATATCGTGTGGCTGTCCATGTGGCTAGGGAGTGCCCCCTGTGAATAAACAGGCAGCGACTCTTGGCCGCAGAGGCCACATGGGGGCCTGCCCTGGCCTTGCTGGCGACTTGCCAGTGGCTCACCCACAGCATACTCACGTGTTGCAGTATCGGAACACGCCCTTGATATCCACTTCCCGCACAGCGGCGTGCACCAGGGGTATGGTGGCCATTTCAGAGCCCAGCCCCACAAGCACCAGGGTCCCGCCAGAGCGTGTACTCTAGGGAGGAGGTAGGAAAAAAAAAATGAGAACTCAAAAGAAATCACAGGCCCCCCACTTGCTGTAACACACACACACACACACACACACACACACACACACACACACACACACACCCTGTAAATGGCTCTTGAACCCATTAGGTGAGGTACCCCAAAATCTCAGACAATGTGACCCTTGCTGCACTGCTACTTTTCAACATGGTGACTGAACTCAGTGAGGCAGCAAAGTGCTCTCTTCTTCAAAGTTCCTGAAATCATACCTGTGACCCACGGAACCAGGCACTATGGAAGCATCTTCCAAATCTTTACAGAGTTAGTGCAAGATTCTAGCTTCAGCCACTTTAGCACCCCTTCCAAGGAGCACTCACCTCACACCTCTGACAGTCATCCTCCCAGCTCACAGGTGTGGAAATGGTAGTGAACCCCAGGCAAACAGAGAGTGCTAAGTATAATAATAAATTTAACCAGGAACTGGAGTGTTGTGTCATGAGTTAAATGACTGTATAGAATGCCAGCATTCCACATCAGAGGGTAATTCAAGTTCCAGCTGCTCTACTTCCAATCCAGTTCCCTGCTAATGCGCCTGGGGAAGCAATGGAAGTCCATCAGCTCCCATTGGCTCTCTGTGGACTGGAGCGACTTGAGGAGAGCAGACACACTTGACCTTCAAGGCACCCAACACACAAAGCCTGACACAGCGACCGCCCCACTGTCCCTGACTTTTCCCCTCTCTGTACCTCTTCCCATCCATGAGGCCCGGGACTGAGGGGCAGAGGCCTGGCCAATTCCAGCTGAAGATCAGTGGGGTTTGGACCCAGGACTTACTCCCTTTCCCCTCCTTCACCTGTATTTCGGGTTGGTTCATGACACCCCTGCCCTACCATGCCAGCTCCATGCCAACTTCCCAGACAGTTCTAGGGGTTGGTATTGCTGCTGAGGAGTGATAGGGACAGCTTATCTGCCCCTGCTTCTGGGAGAGAGCATGGAAGTAGCTCACTTGGACTCGGAGAAGTCTGCTGAGCTTGGAGACTAACCCTACCCATAGCTGTCGTTGGGCTTCGTGACTCAGACTACTGTGTCTCCTCAATGAATTAGGTGGGAATTTCCAATGCTTCCCTGGGCCACGGTTCCCCATTCCTCTATGGGTCTTTCTCCCCAAGAGTCATATTTGTGCAGCCACAGATATGAAAGCACCTCTATCCTAAAGGTCTAGGTAAGCTCACAGCTTGGGCCCATGCCTACCAGTCACCTTGTTCAAAACCCATGCCGTTCTGGCCAAGAGGAAATGCAGGTGGTTGCTAGCTCTTCCTAGGAGATCCAAGGCAACCAACTTGTCTAGCTTGGGAGGAGTCAAACAGCAAGGCAATGCCCTCTTGACATCTGTCCAGCTCCTTACAGCCACCCACCAGCCTCCTGCCCCACCCCTCCCTGGGGCCCACTCACATAGATGCCCGCCTGGATGGAGGGCTCAGCCCCAGTGCACTCGATGGTCACATCTGGCTGGCACCCCAGCAGGCCTTCCACTTTCTTGGCCACTTCCTGCGGGCTCTCCTTGGAGATCTGGAGGAGACAATCCGCCCCGATTTCCTTGGCCAGGGACAGCCGGGAAGCAGACAGATCTGAGGGCAATGGATGAGGAAGAAAGTGAATTGTAGGTGCAAGGGCTGGCGACAGTGAAGCTTGGGGCAATGGGTGGTGCCACTGGGCTTGACACGTTTCTCACATGCACGCACACTGTCCCGCACCCACACAGCTACACATGCTCACATACATACTCCCAGATTGTCTCCACACAAAACTGCTCACACACCCCATGCATGCCACTCAGTGCCTACTCACACTCTCTCACATACATGCACACACACACCCTTCTGCATACCCTCATGCTAAACAACACTCCGCACCCACCCAGATCACCTCTCCTCACACACTCACAACCCTCCCTCACCTCCCATTCAGGCCGCACAGCATCTCACACAGCCACCCCAGACACACATAACACACACTCCCATTGTACACCACGCCCAAACACACACTCCATGGCCTCTTGAGTACAAACAGACCAAGGGCGGAGTGTCCTGTTAGGACCAAAGGCAATACAAGCACCTGAGGCTCACATACAAAATGTCACCCCTCTCCTCACATGGGAGCCTCAGCCTAGGCCCTGAGAGGGTGGCACCTGGCTGGGCTTTCCGACTTCGGGCTCAGAAGGGTTTTGGGAACCCAGTCTCTCAGGGAGGGCCTCTACCTGTGGGCTCCTCACACCTCCACCCCAAACTGTAGACCCTTGAAGGAATTTTAGAAAGAGCATCCCTTACCGGTCACCACCACCCGAGCCGCTCCCATCGCCTTGGCCACCAGCAATGTGACCAGTCCAATTGGTCCTAAATAAAACAGAAGAAGATGGGAGATGTTTGTGCATTGTTATTTTTAAAAAAACTATTTATTTTCATTGGAAAAGCAGATCTACAGAGAGGAGACACAGAGAGAACTCCATCCGTTGGCTCACTCCCCAAGCGGCTGCAATAGCTGGAGCTTAGCTGATTTGATGTGAAGCCAGGAGCCAGGAACTTCTCCCAAGTCTCCCACGTGGGTGCAGAGTCCCAAGGCTTTGGGCCATCTTCCACTGCTTTCCCAGGCCACAAGCAGGGAGCTGGATGGGAATCGAGCAGCTGGGACATGAACCAGCATCCCTAAGGGATCCCGGTGTATGTAAACCAAGGATCCTAGCCACTAGGCCATCATGCTGGACTTGGATTGTTATTTTTTAAAGACTTGTTTATTTATACATTCATTCATTCTTTTATTTGAAAAACAGTGTGACAGAGACAAAGACACAGGGAGAGAGAGGAAGCTTCCATTTGCTGCTTCACCCCCTAAATGCCTGCAACAGCCAGGGTTGGGACAGACCAAAGCCAGGAGCCAGGATCTCAGTCTGTATTTTCCACACGGTGGCAGGAACCTAAGTCTTTAGGTCGTCATTTTCTGCCTCCTAGGGACTTTGGCAGGGAGCTAGGTCAGAAGCAGGCCAGCCAGGACTCTTAACACTGGGCACTCCATAGGCAGTAAATGGTTTAATCCCCTGTACTCCAACACCTATCCTGTGTTTGTGACTTAGGAAACATCTGCTCCCCACTTTGTCCAGCTCACAGATGAGGGCCCTATCTGTGTCTCCAGCACTTGTCCCATTGCCCAGCGCCCAATGAGATATTAACAACTGTTCTCTATATGAAATACACCCTAGGTGCTGGATTCTGTTATTCCTAGGCACTGTTTGGAGCTAAGTTCAAAGAACCGGAGGATCCAAGGAGACCTGCACTTCTTCAGTGAATAGAAAGCTTCAGTGGGTCTAGATGTCTTTTTGTCTATCCCGAGAACTCACCATCCCACCCTAGGGAGACACATAATCTCTCCAGGGGCCTCTGAGCATCAGTTCAGTTTGGAGTGGAAGGGGGATAGCCTCAAGGGCACTGGCTCCCTGGTTTGACCCAGTTGATCTGGCAGCTCCAAAAAATCTGCAGGTGCCCGAGAATGAACCTGAGACCTCCCACTTCCCTGCAGCATCTAAATGCCACAGCCACACCTGGAGAGTACACTGTGGGAACAGCCCCTTCTCTCCCGGCCTGTGACCACCCCTGCCAACACCTTGGCCCTGTGTTATCTAGGACACAAAACCAAAAATCCCACACCCGTAAAATAAGGTAATGGGGAAAGGGAAGAGGTATTGCTTCTTGCATGTTCTTCTTTAAAAACAATGCTGTGAGCTCCTCTAAAAACTCAAACACTGGAAAATCATTCCTGAAATGTCCAACAAAGGGTGGCTCACTGAATTAGAGGAGGATGTCATGACTGTCTGTGGCATGGGAAAATGTTCACAGAGAGTGGACAGAGTCTACTAAGCATGGTCTCATTTAAAAGAAACCCAAAATGAAAAGACTCTGCACCAATGGAGCTACAAGTGAAGCCTGTGTGTGTGTGTGTGTGTGTGTGTGTGTGTGCACCTGAATGTGTGTGTGCATGTCTGACTAATTTTCCTCTTCTATGGCAAATGTTTATTTGTGCAGATTTCTAAGAATCTTGTGGCCTGAATGCAGGGCCTGCCCCGCCAGCCCAGTGGATGGCATGAGGCTGGTAGTCCTCCAGTATGAACTGAAAGAGTTCCAGAATCTTTACTAGTTCTCAAAAACAAAAAAAAATTTCCTAACTTCTCATCAAGTGTTCACAAAAAAATATCACAAGATGTAGTTTTTGAAAAGCACAAGATGAGGGGAGTAGACACTTGTGCTTGGCAGTGGAGACGCCTGCCTCCCACACCAGGGTGCTGCCTTTGGATTCCTGCTGAGGCAACGGTCATGGCTCGGGCAGCTGGGTTCCTGCCAACCTCATGTAGGATCTGGTTGTGCTCCCCGCTCGTGGCTTCTGACCTGCCTCAGCTCCAGACATTCCCTGTATTTCAATGAATAAACCCAGTGGATGAAATAAACAGAAAAATAATACAAATAAAGAAGTAGGTAAAAGGATTATGTTGCCCAGGAAATGTAGCATCATTGGTATTATGTTGCAGTTACATTTGTTTAGCCATCATAGAGGGAAAAAGCTAGAAAAACCCTAGACCATGCCCAGCCCTTGGGCAGCAGGGAGGGGAGGAATGAAATGGGATGAGAGGTGCCACACCGCCAGGGGATGAACCCATAACCCGGTGTCGTCCGCTCCTTACCAGCTCCACACACAAGGACGTTGTTTCCCAGGGTGACTCCGCCTCGCCGGCAAGCATGGATCCCCACAGACAGTGGTTCAATCAGGGCCCCTTCCTCAAAGGTGACACCGTCAGGGAGCCTAGGGAGTCATTCAACAACGGTTAAGCCCTCTGGCTCAAGTGCTACGCTAATGACAGCATCACATTTTGCCCTACCTGGGCTGTTGGCAAAAATGACAACAGTTAAAATGCATTAGCATTTACTCAGGTGCACAGCCATGTGCTGGGCAAACGGCACGCTCAGAGTAAATCCTTGGAAGAGGTCTGTGGCGGGTGCCACTAAGCCCATTTTACAGATGAGGGAGTTGAGGCTTGGAAGGCTAAAAGCTAGTAAGGGACGTGAGGGTTTCCAGTTATAAGCCCAGGCATATCTAGGCTCTGGTACCCACGTACACTGCCCCTGCCTGAGAACAGTTTTCTCTGGGGAAACCCATTCAGGGAATGCGCATATACTTTCTTCCATGTGCCAGCCAAGTGGAGCGCTGGTGCAGCTGTCCCTCGTCAGTGGGAAGTTCATTTAGCCAGGGGTTAGTGTAGCTGCAGTCCAGTGTTCCAACTGCTTCTACTTCCTTTGAGCAACAACATTGACCACCCACATCTTTGTAGAGTGGGTGACTTTCTGCTCCTAATTGCCCATAGACCAGATGACAGCAGCGGCCTGGCTCCCCTGGGACTGGTTAAGATGGGACCTGTCTGCACAGCTGCTTAATTGCTGTCATATGGCCTGCAGGTTCTTGGTTTTCACTCCTGAGCCCACTGGCATCTCAGCCCCACCACAAGTCCCACCAGGGAAAACAGCAAACATTTGCTGAAGGTTTTAGGGATTAGAGAATCTTCCACCCATTCTCGTTTAATCCTCAGGATAACCATGCTGGGCAGGAAGGCAAGTTCTATTCTCACCTTTCTTTCACAGAGGCGGAAACAGGAGTCCCATAACATTGAGAGGCTCCTTCAAGGTTACCAGGCTGGTGAATAGAACCTGAGCCCGGGTCTCCTGACTGCACATCCCCTGCCTGGCCTGTGTCTTGGTACAAGCAGCTCTGTGGCTGATATCTAAGCTTCATAGGCTCCTCATTACCCACCTTGACCCAGTGCCTCCAAACCTCTGGACACAGGAACAGGAAAACCCTCCAGTTCCAAAAGAAAAAAGGTGACCTCCCAGCCATGTGCCTTTATGGCACAGTTCCACTGCTCCCAGTCCTCAGCTGAATAAATCGTAAGACCTGTGGTCTGCCATCATCCACCATCTACCCCTGCCCCTCCCTGCCCCTCCAACTCCCCCCACTACAACCCCATCCTCTGTTTGATTGCTATCTATCTCTTTTATTCACTGTTCCCAAGGCATCACATCTACCAGAGGGAGCAAGGTTTAAAGTAAAATCATGGAATGCTCCAGCTGTCGCAGACACCCCCAGCCAACACAGTCAGGTTCACCTGGCCCTCCACACCTGGACTTCCCACGGAGCTCAGCATGGCCCAGCCTGGTGAAGTGGGGTGGAGCTGCGTGCTCCCCACATCTTCCCTCCCTCTCTCTTCTCTCTGGGATAAGGAGAGATGGGCCTGGGGATAAATATGAGAATAATTTTCTCCCCAGTCCTCATCTCTATGACTTGCTAAAATACCAGAGCACATCTTCTGTTGAAGCCCTAACACTTCATGGGATGGTGCCTGGGGATAGTGTTTTCAAGGGGCTAAATAGAGCCATACAGGTAGGGCCCTGATCTGCTTGACTGTGTCCTAAGAGGAAATGCTGCGTAAGCACCTGTCCAGGAGGCTCATGTCTGCCAGTCAGGAATGGAGCCCATCCCAGAAACTGGCCTTGCTAGCATCTTGGTCTTGGCCAGGGAGGGCACTAAATGTCTGTGCTTTATGGTCAAACCAGACACCAGAGGATGATGAGGCAACTTGGGGATTCACATGGCAGTGTTCAGGAAATGAGCAAAAAGGGACAGAGGGTCTATTAAGCAGCCAAGGGGAGCAGAGAGACAGGACAAAGACAGGTGAGTGGGAAAATAGAAGCTAAGGTCATGCAGGAATCTTCCAGAGATTTAGAGGGGAGGGCTGGGCCCGGGCTAGGAGGAAGTGCAGGCAAGAAAGACTCTTGCAGAAAAAGAAAAGGGGTGGGAAATGTGCAGCCCCAGGAACCTTCCTTGACCTCTCCATTGCTACTGCTAACCAGATCACCGTGACCACCCTCTACCATCCCTGACCCATCCCCTCCATCCCAGCACAAGGCTGGGTTCTACATCTGTATTCCACACACACCACACTACAAGTGTTGTGATGCATCTTGGTACTCATGCTAGGTACTTTGTCACTGCATCTCACAAGTCTGCAAGGAAGGTGCTATGATAAACCTCATGTGACAGACCAGGATTTGGAGGTTATATGTGTGTGATTGAAGGAGCCTGCTTGAGGGCGCCTAGATGGTGAGTGGCAGAGAAGAGTGGCTAGCCTTGATTATTACCACCATGATAGTCTGCCTTCCATGGACATGTTGCTTGGCACCTTGACTTGACAGGGCCCAGGAAAAGATGAGCAGATCCAGGAACTGCATGCCTGAAAGGTAGGCTCTGATGCAGGTAACCTAGAGCAGGCGTGGATGTGGACTTCAGCTCATGGTGAGGTCCCTGGCCCATGGCTGTCTGAAAGCTTCCAGTGGGCACAAGAAACTCAGATCTGTCAGATTGCCCCTTTGGCCAGGACCTGGCTTCCAGGGAATAAGCCACATCCTGGGTAACAGCTACTGCTGGGTCCTGGGTTGGGTTGGAAAGAAAATGCACTTGGACCAGATACGCGGAGAGCAGTTCATTAAAATGGACAATACTCAGCTTCTCTCAAACTCAACTTCTCACCCTAAGGCTGTTTTAGGCATGAGTTGGGGCAATGTAGTAGACACAGGAAGGGATCCTGATTCCAGATTTGACCCCTGGTTGTGCTCTGTGCCTGAACTGGCTGGTGTCTTTCTGCCTCAGTTAACCCTTGCATAGACCTGCAGCCAGAGCGCCCACCTAACCACTATCCTTGGAAAGGTAAAATTAGATAAAGCACGCAAAGCATTTGTTAGCACAAGGGCAGGGACTTAGGAGTCATAAATGTGATTTTCCATGCATTGCCTTACTTAATCTTCTAATGATTAAATTAGACTAAGGCACTTCCCCAAAGTCACTTGCTTAGGAGGGATTGGGTCCAGGATTCCCAACATGTGTGCCCTGGGCTGCACTTACATGTCAGTGGCTGTTTTTACTGTTTGTTGTTCTCAAGCTCATTGCTGTTACATTTTCCCTTTCTGGTGTCTGTGTTGGAACTCAATAAAATCGAAGATAAGACAAGAGAAGTTCTCTCCAGGGTGGCTAGAGGGAAGATGGCAGGGATTTCCCTAAGAATTTCCCGTTGTTGTTCTAGATGAGGGAAAGCCAGACTCAAAGATTAAAAACAAGCACTGTGGGTCAGGCTTAGATCCCAGGGTGGCACCCCTGGCTAAATGCCATCAAAAAGGGCAGACCTGCTGCCCCATGCCTCATGTTTACAATCAGAAGCTGAAGTACTGGCATCACGATACAACAGTTTAAGCCACTGATTTCCAGTATCCCATGAGTGCCAGTTTGTGTCCTGGTTGCTCAGCTTCTGATCCAGCTGTTAATAGGCCTGGGAAAGCAACAGAAGCTAGACCAAGTTACTTGGATCCCTACTACCCATGAGACACCAGCATGGAGACACCAGCCTGGCCCAGCCCTGGTTACTGAGGGAATTTGGAGAGTGAAATAGCAGATGAAAGCTCTCTCTTGCCCCTTACCCCAACTTTGTCACTCTACCTTCCAAATAAATAATTCTTTTTTAAAAATATGAGCACCCTGGGAAACTAGAAGAGGTCCCAGTGGTAGCTGGAGGCCACGGGCACTGACTTGTAACAGAAGTTCGCGTTGTGCTTGTAGAAGCGGCAGAGGTTCCCGTCATCGGGGGGCGTGGCACAGAAGAAGATGGTGGGCGACAGGTTGTAGCGGCCAATCTTGCAATATTCGTCATTATCTCGGGGGGCACCAGGCTCGATGGCAACACGATCACCTGGGGAGGAAAATTAAGACACTACCAAGTCCAAGAGTGGAAGCAAAGCTTGCCTCCTTCTGGGCCTGCTTCTTTGTTTTCTGAGCTTTTGAGAAAACAAGAGTCGAGGCTAAGATGTTGTGAAGACGTGTTGGCTTGGGGGCAGGGGCTGGGAAGAGCAGCATCCAGCTAATGAACTGCCCTCTTGCTTGGGGACCAAGGCTAGTCCAGGCCACTGGTGCAGCCAATGGAGTACAGGTGCTGCTCAGACTGGAAGCAAATGACCAGCCCACATCCCTCCAGACTGGCTAGTTGGACCTGGTGTCAGCCCACAAGTCAGTCCACCGCACTGGCTGCACAGCCACTTCCTAGGTTGGGAAACACAGGACCAGCTCCATCTGCAGGTCCAGCCAGGTCTGGTTTCCCATCTCAAACTGATGCATGAGAAGCAGTATGTCTGGGGTTTGCTCACATGTTTTTTTTTTTTTTTTCTCCCTTTGTTGTGAAAACATGAGGGAGAGTTCTATAGAAATAAGAGCCAAAATATGGCACGTTTGATGTTCACCCTGGTTGTGTTTAGGCAATAAGCTAGGAGTCAGCTGATTCCCTTTTAGCAGAACCTCAAAGGCCAAGGACCTGTGGAGGTCTGACTCCAGCACAGAAGGGAACAGGCAAGGCTTGTTAACAGCGCTGTCACTATGCTTCCCTATCCCTGCTTGGAAACTCAGCCTGTGGATTGCTCTCTGTGTTGTTTCATTTTTTCCTTTATGAAACATCCTAATATACAGCAAAGTTCAAGAATTCTACAGCGAACACACAAAGACCCTCCACCCATCCTGTAGGAGGAGCCTGACCAACAGGTCCTGTTGGGAAAAAGTGCTTACACCTGCAGGATACACTGTCCTGATGGTGGCAACAAGACCTGCCCATTGCCCAGTGGGCCAAGCACCAGGCAAGGCACACTACAGAAGTTCATTTTTTTCCTTGTCACATGGCAACAAGGGGGTTTAACCCTGCTTTGGAGAGGGAACAGGAGCCCAGGTGGTCCCACAGTTTGACCACCTGCTCTTAAGACCAGTGGAATTATGGGACTCCTGAGCCTGAGCGGACTGTTAGGAACCTGCTAAGACGCCACAGAAGGGCCAGTGGTTATTTAGAGACATGCTAAGCTATTTCTTTTAAGTCTTTTTTGTCAAAAGTACCACAGTGGTATGTCTGGGAGAGTTCTGGCTCTGCTCCAACCCCATTTCCCTGCTGGCGAGCACCCTGCGAGACAGTGGCTCCTGTACTTGGGTGCCGGCCATCCATGTAGGACACCTAGACTCAGTTCCTGGTTCATGGTTTCAGTCTGGCCCAGCCCTGGCTGTTCCAGACATCTGGAGAGACAGCAGAAGGGAGAGCTCTGTCTCTCTTGGTCTTTTGCTTAATTTTTTTTTTAACAATAGGGACTGGAACAATGGTTCAATTGTCTAACCCTTCTCCTAGCAAGTGCTGGAATTCCATGAGTGCCAATTTGTGCCTGCTCCACTTCCCATCTAGCTCCCTGCTTGTGGCCTGGGCAAGCAGTAGAGGATGAATCCAGGCCTTGGACACATACATTGCAGCCATTTTGGGACTGAACCATTGGATGGAAGATCTTTCTCTCTGTATCTCCTTTTCTCTGTAAATCTGCACTCCTAATTTTAAAAATCCTTTTTTGCCTGTTTTTTTTTGTTTGTTTGTTTGTTTTACAAAGGAAGAAGGTTCAGACCAGGCGCGGTGGCCTAGTGGCTAAAGTCTTTGCCTTGCATGTGCTGGGATCACATATGGGTGCCGGTTGCTATCCTGGTGTTCCTGTTTCCCATCCAGCTTCCTGCTTGTGGCTTAGCAGGGCAGATGAGGACAGCCCAAAGCCTTGGGACCCTGCACCCATGTGGGAGACTCAGAAGAAGCCCTGAGCTCCTGGCTTCAGATTGGCGCAGCTCTGGCCATTGCTGCCACTTGGTGAGTGAATCAATGGACAGATCTTCCTCTCTGTCTCTCCTATTTGTATTTCTGACTGTCTAGTAAAAATAAAGTAAACCTTTTTTAAAAATTTGTGATGGGGTGGGTGGGTATCAGGGAGAGAGGAAAGAAACCACGGGCCACGAGTGTCCCCCAGGATCTGGAGAGGAGGAGCCTGGCAGATAAAGGACATTGCTGACCTGGCTTTAGGTGCGTCACTAATGATCCCACTTTGACAACCGTTCCTGAAGCTTCATGTCCCAGCACCATCGGCTTCCTCACAACAAAATCCCCAATCCGACCGTGCTGCCAGTAGTGGACGTCAGAACCGCAGATCCCAACCGAATGCATCTTCAACAGCACCTCTGATAAGGAAAAGCAGAAATGGGAGACAGGTGAGGGGGAGGCCCACCTCTCCCTCCATCACTCCATGGTCCCTGGGCAGGGCACAGGTCAGCACCTGAACTGCATCTGATGGTTAGTTTTGGTGTTAACTTGATTTTTGACTCTCTGCCCAATTGCTTGGCATAACACCGTCTAGAAGTCTCTGTGAAGGTACTTTGTAGACATGTAATTACAGTGAACTTGTTAGGTGTGAAGTAAAGCTGCATGTTCCTGGGGTGGACCTCTTCCACACAGTTGAAGGCCTTGGGAGTAAATCCTGGGCCTTCTTCCCCAAGGAGAAGAAATTCCTGCCAGGGCAACACAGAAACCCCACCTGAGATTCCAGGATGCCTGGCTGCCCATGTCCACCCTCACCCAGCCTTCCAGCCTGCTAGCTTTTCCTTCAAATTTCCAACTTGCCATGATTACACGAGCCAATTTCTCAAAATAAATCTCCATCTTGCCCCCTGCACACACGCATGCACACACACACACACACACCTTATTTGTTCTGTTTCTTGGGAGAACCCTGACCAATCACTGTGTATACAAGATATTACCTGTAGAAAGAAATGTACCAATCACTTAAGAGAACAAACTTTTCCAGGAGATAACTTTTCTCAGACAAGTGCAAGCCCAATCCTACCCATTGATGAGGATGAAATCTAGCAGGATCTCAGATTGGTGACAGTTTGTGAACTATCTAGCTGAGCTTTAAAAAAGGAGGAGCTTTTTTTTTTTTCTTCAAACCACCTGAAGATTTCAACATGCACTTAAACATGAAGGGTTTCAATGAAGTGAGATTAGGTGGTATTTTTATTGTCAGTTCTCCAAGTCTAAAATCATGGTGTTGCCAAGTATCTTTGCTGTCCTAAGTACGGAAGGATTACTGGCCTGTTCTGACTCCCAGGAGCAGGTTACAAGTATCCTCCTGAGAAAAAACGTGGCCTTAGATAGACCCAAAAGCTCTGCTTAGGCATTCAGGCATCTTATCACCACAAATCACCAGACACCCTCCTGGGTGGTGCTCCGTAGAACCTTCTTTGTCCTTGGTTTTAGTGTCTCAAGTGAGAAATGGAAGGGTGAATTCTGCGATTACAATTTCAGAAAGAGCTGGTTTCATCACAGTGTTTAAGACACAGGCCTAGAGCCTAGCACAGCAGCCTAGCAGCTAAAGTCCTGGATTTGTACACGTTGGGATCCCCTATGGGAGCCGGTTTGTGTCCCAGCAGCCCTACCTCCCATCCAGTCCCTGCTTGTGCCCTGGGAAAGCAGTAGAGGATGGCCTAAAACCTTGGGACCCTGCACCCGCATGGGAGACCCAGAAGAGGCTCCTGGCATCCAATGGGCTCAGTTCCAGCCATTGTAGCCACTTGGGGAGTAAACTAGTACATGAAAGATCTCTTTGTCTCTCCTCCTCTCTGTATATCTGACTTGCCAATAAAAATAAATAAATCTTTCAAGAAAAAAAAAAAAGACAGGTCTAGGAAGTCCATATTTCATGTTGGTGTGTCTGGATTCAAGTTCTGGCTCAGTTTCTTCTTCTTTTATAAAAAATTTATTTATTTTTCATTGGAAAGGAAGATTTACAGGGAAAAGGAGACACACACAAAAAAAGAGCTTCCGTTCATTGGTTCATTCCCCAAGTGGCTGCAAGGAGCTGGACAGGAAGTGGAGCAGCCAGGATTTGAACCAGCTCCCATATAGGATCTTGGTGCATGCAAGGATTTGGCAACTGAGCAATCACGTTAAGTCCCACCCCAGCTCTCTAACTTCCTGCTTAAGCACACTGTGAGATGCAAGAAAAGATGGTTCAAGTACTTGGATCTCTGCCATCTATGTGTAAGACTCAGATTGAATTCTGGGTTCCTGACTTTGCCTAACCCAAATCCAGCTCCAGTTGGACATTTGGGGAATCAATGGATGGGAGCTCCTTGTCTCTCATTCTCTCTGTCTGCCTTTGAAATAAATATGTGTGTGTGTGTGTGTGTGTGTGTGTGTGTACACATATATATTAAATTAGAAAATGTATGTATACAAAATTAGAAAAAATATATATATACATACATATAAAATTAGAAAATGTCATTTAAAATTGAGAAAATTATCTCAGTTTTGTCTTTTGAGGTGGTCTGTTGAACTTGGTAGCATGCTCACCTTCCAATTCAAGCATGAGCAAGAAAACGAAAAAATGAGAGCAAAACACTGCTCGGAACAGAGGCCGAACCTGGATCCTTAAAGGCCAAGATAGCCTTGTTTGGTCACCTCTGGAGTCAGCAGCAGCTCTACAGGAGACGCTGAGGTAGGTGCCTCCTTCTCTGAACATGCTATCTTGGTGAAATGTTTAAGCCCTAAATATACGTTACTTTTCTACACACTGATAGAAACAGCTGTTGTCTATATCTTATCACTGCTAAGTCAATAGCCCGACTGACCTCGGATGGCAAATCTCTGCAGGCACCAGGAAAGCTGCCCCAGACCGACATGCTATTCACGCATGCAGAAATGGAGGCTCAGAGTGAGGCATGGCAGAGTCAGGGAGGACACCCCCAATTCCTGGAGGACATAGAGGGCACCTGTGTGATTGGGCAAGGGAGGGCAAGATGCACCAGGTATAGGAATTCTGCCTGCTGCACCAGGGTCCTATAGATTGTGACCAAGTTGCACATGCAGACGGCATGGCTGGGACATAAGCAGCTGGGGCCTGCCCTAGCTAATGGGGGGACATGGCCTCCCCAGGGATAAACTCCACCACAGCAAACACGCATGCAGCTCAGCCAGCCAGAGGCCCACAGGAGTAGGGCAAAGGCGCCGCAGCCCTGCCCCGCTGCTCACCTCTTCTGTGCCCCACACAGTCCCTCCCAGTCTCACAGGACAGAACGTCCTGGGCTGCTCCACTCTTTGATAAGTGGTCAAGAGTTGGTACGATGCTCCCTTCGTTCATTTAAAGATTAAGGTGTGCAGACTCGCTCCTTTTCACGGTTTGGTGAAGGTTAAGACACGATTTGGCAACCCCAGCAGCAGCTGCTGGGAGATAGAATACTGGGCTACTAGGTCAAGAGAGAAGTCCTCCCCTTGGTCCAAGTACATCGCATCACAATCTCTGGAACAGCCTTCAGTCTGACACAACCTTTTCCCTGGTTCTGTCACTTTTCCTTTTATTTCCTGTAGCAGCTAAGAAAAACCAACCAACCAGACCTATTATAGACAATGGGACTAAGTTCCCAGACCAGCAGAAGGGAATGAAGGGAATGAACAATAGAAGAAGGCATAGTAGCCCAGTGCCCAGGAGTTTGCAGAGTAGGCAAGGGCAAACAATAAAACAGGTTGAGCTTCCAGACACCTACCGTTTGGGCCTGGTTCTGGGATAGGATAGTTCTCCTAAAAGAAACAAAAGAGAAAAAAGTCATTTAACGTGTATAACAACTATACCTTATGATCTTTTTCTCATTTGTAAAAAAAAAAAGTGGAGTTTCATGTAAATAATTCTTCTGGGGCCAGTGCTGTGGCATAGTGTGTTAAGCTGCCATCCCATATCCAAGTGTCAGTTGGAGGCCCAGCTGTTCCCCTTCCTTTCAGTCCAGCTCTCTATTAAGGTGCCTGGCAAAGAAGCAGAAGAGGGTCCCTGCACCCATGTGAGAGACCCAGAAAAGCCCCTGGGTCCTGACTTTGGACTGACCTAGCCCTGACTGTTGTGGCCATTTGGGGAGTGAAACAGTGGACAGGAGGAAGGTCTTATCTCTCCCTCTTCATGTCTCTCACTCGGTCTTTCAAATAATTTTTCTTCTTAGAGTTAACACAAGTTGGGACCACACACTGGCTGGCTCTATGCCTGGCAAGCACCGTGAAGTATATGCTGAAAAAGCAACTGATTCAAACAATGGTCACACTTCTGGTCACTAGCAAAATGGCACAGGAATCTGCCAACTGCCCAATCGTGGGGTCAGAACTCCAGGCTCAGAGGGAGCTGATGGAAGTGGCATAACTGCCCCCCACAACCTGCCCCCAGAATAGTGCTATAGGCTCCCGCAGGCAGGGCTGCCTCTGAGCCTCCAGGTCTGCCATCCTCACAGGAACCTCCCATCCAGAGAAATCACATTCTCAGATACTGAGTTGTTTGCTCTGGCAATCTCCTGCAGGGAGAGGATGAGGGCGTTTCCAGCAGGTGCATGTCAGGGCTTCTCTATCAAGACAGGTAGGAGACAGGCCCCGCGTGGCCACCCGCCCTTCAGGTGGGCACACAGTTCAGACCTGGCTCTCTTCCTAGACCTCCCATGTGGTGCCACTGGGGAACAGGTAGGACTGGAAAAAAGTCCCCAAAGTTATCTGACCTGTAGCAGCAGCAGCAGTAGTAGCAGTATTTGCTTACTAAGCATTTTTCTCATTGCCAAATTGGTTAGGAAAGTCCGGTGACAAGAAGGCCACTGATTTTCAAGTGTTCAGTTAAAAAATAAAAGAGATTGATTTTGCAGTTATTGAGGAGCAGAGTGAGAGACAGGAAAGGAGGAAGTGAGCATCGGAGTGATGGTCCGGATTGTAGCATTCCATCTTGGGCTCCACTGTGGTGAGCACTTGGACGATCTTCTACTGCTTTCCCAGGTGTATTATCAGGAAGCAGAGTTGGAAGCGGAGCAGCAGGGACTCGAATTAGCATCCTGGACAGAAGCTTGACCCACTGAGCCCTGGACACAGCCTCCTCCCCACTCCTCGTGTTTCCTGATTGTTTGAAGGCAGTCCAGCAGAGGAGGTATAGAAGAGATGCAACATCCATAGCACCTGCTCTCAGGCTAGACGGCAGGCTGGGCTTTATCTTCACCACAGTCTCTATGGTTTGTAGATGAGAAGCCCATGGTTGCAGAGTTACAAAACCAGCTCAACATCCGATTGCCAGAGACTGGACTAACCAGAGCTCAGGCCAGCCTTGTCTAACTCCGCATCTGCTTCCCCTGCACCCTGCTGCACTCAGATGTACTCTGGGTGGAACGTCTTTCCTCCTTCAGGGGTGATGGCCAAGAGCTGTCAATCAGGCCATGAGGATGCTGTGACTGGATAGTGTGCCCCAGGAGGGTGAAGGACCCCAACCATCACAGGCTCCCAGCACTTTCTCAGAAGTTCTGAGCTAACTCGTCATTCCTCCCATGCTTCAAAGACCGAGGTGGTGTGCTAGAGCTGACCACCGTGCGCTTCAAGTCCAGTGCACGCTGTACGTTCAGTGCTTTCCTGATGGCAAGAACTCTAGGTGCTGCATTCTGTTACTATTCCAGACGATGGGACTAGAAGACTGAACCTGCAGTAGCAACGCTAAGCCTCATGAACAGTAAGAGCTGCAACCAAGAAGCGTGATGTGAAGGAAAAGGCAAGGGGATTAAGGCAGGTTTCTGCCTCTTAACCACTTACACTGGTGATATCAGCAAGGGATGGAGCAAGAAAGGGGATCCATCAGGAAAGCCATCACCAAAACCTCCCTTGGAGACTTGCAATACTCCCTCAGACTCGGGGCCACTGCTGGAGTTAGACTGAGTATGATTCTAAATGGCAGGTTAAATTACAACTAAAAACCAAGGCCTTGGGCCTAACTCAATGGCTCAATTGACTAATCCTTCCCCTTCCAGTGCTGGGACCCCATAGTGCCAGCACTGGTTCATGTCCCGGCTGCTCCACTTCCTATCTAGCACCCAGCTTGTAGACTGAGAAAGCAGTAGAGGATGGCCCAAAGCCTTGGGACCCTGCACCCACATGGGAGACCCAGAAGAGGCTCCAAGCTCCTGGCTACGAAGTAGCTCAGGTCTGGTTGTTGCAGCCACTTGGAGCAGTGAACTAGTGGGTGGAAGACCTTTCACTCTGCATCTCCTCTCTGTAAATCAGCCTTGTCAATTAAAAAAAAAAAAAAAAACTGGGCCTGGCGTGATAGTGTAGCGATTAAAGTCCTCGTCTTGAACTCGCCAGGATCCCATATGGGCGCTGGTTTTAATTCTGGTGGCTCCACTTCCCATCCAACTCCCTGCCTGTGGCGTGGGAAAGCAGTTGAGGATGGTCCAGAGCACTGGGACCCTGCACCCGCGTGGGAGACCTGGAAGAGGTTCCTGGCTTTGGATTGGCTCAGTTCCAGACGTTGTGGCCCTTTGAGGAATGAATCATCAGACGGAAGATCTTCCTCTCAATCTCTCCTCCTTTCTGCATATCTGCCCTTCCAATAAAAATAAATAAGTCTTAAATTAAAAAAAAAAAGGCGACGACGACTAAGGCCTTTATTCCCAGTATTGAGCAACATCTACCCTCACCCCTAGTGGCACTGGAAGACAGTTCCACAGCATATTCACATCTCTAGCCAGGCCGAGCCTTAACACCCCACTTAGGGTTGGGTAGGTGGTTAGGTTCAAGGTCGGAGCAGCAGCTGGGTACACCAAATAAACTCCAGGTCAGAAGAGATTAGCTGCTGTTTAAACTGACCCACCTGCCCTTACCGCGCAAGCAAAGCTGCAATGAGTCTTCCAGGCACTAGAGGGTGCTGGTGGGAAAGCCTTTTTTTCCCCCATTTTCTTAACACAATAGGCTTATAGAAGATCTTGAAATGATCTCTCAGCATCTCAACTTTCATTTCCCTGAGACTTCCAACTGCCTTCTGCAAGGCGGCTGGGCTCCTGCCTCCTCCCCGTCGAATGCAAGACCCTGTTAGGATCAGCACAGTTTTGTAGCTCTTGTCCTAAAGCATGGCCCACAGAAAATGAAAAGCCTTGTTTCCTTGCGTGTGGTTCCTGATGCCGTGGGCTGGGGATGATTGTTTACCTAATCTCCTTTTCTGTCTCAGATTTCAATATTGTTTTCTTATTTATCCTACTTCTCCTTTCAGTCTCTGAGCTCCTCTGAGACCTTGAACTTTTACTTTGGTCACAAAGAGTTTGCCATCCCAGACACTTATACAGTTCCCTGATAAACAGGCGTAACTACTTGCTGTAGTTAGGTCAGCTTTCCTGCCTACGTCACTGCAAATTCAGAAATACACTTCTGATGCACAGCCTCCCTTCTCTCCCATTCATTAGCTTGGGGAATTACTTTGGGTAGAACGTGACATCATCTCAGGTCCCCTTTCCTCTGCTTGCACCTAACAACCCTGAGCCCACAACGGGCAGGTGCCTTGCCTGCCTGCAGCAAGGGCCTCCTCACAAGGAGAAGCCAGAGGAAGATGCCCCTGGCCCCTTGCAGCCAACCCAGGTGGCACGTGAAGAACTGAAGACTCTGGCAGCATCTGTCCACGTGCACCGAGGGTGCCCTGCCCTCCCTCCCCTCCCCCCTCCCCTCCCTCCCCTCCCCTCCCCTCCCCCAGCTGCATGCACTGGCTGGTTATGAAACCTCTGTGCTCCCTCCACTTCCTCCTCTGTGTAAGGATAATCATAACAAGGAGTGCCGACTCAGAGTAAATAAATTTGCTTGTATTACAAAAGAAAATCAAAGTCCCTTTTCATTACCGACTCACACTGTGTTTGAACGAGCCCTGGACGACCTTGTCTTGTATGACAGGGGTAATGCATTTCAAATCATTTGGGCGGGGGGGGGGAGGGAAAGGCTGTGTGCCCGTGATTTTCATGCTTGGTTTGGAAAATATGACTGCTCTTTAAAAAGCTAGGATTTGGGGACCCAGCGTGGTAGCCTAGCAGCTAAAGTTTTCGCCTTGCATGCACCGAGATCCCATATGAGTGCTGGTTTGTGTCCCAGCTGCTCTACTTCCCATCCTGCTCCCTGCTTGTGGCCTGGGAAAGCAGTAAAGGATGACCCAAAGCCTTGAACCCTCCACTCAAGCGGGAGACCTAGAAGAGGCTCCAGGCTCCCGGCTTCAGATCGGCTCAGGTCCAGCTGTTGCGGCTGCTTGGGGAGTGAATCACTAGACAGAAGATCTTCCTCTCTTTCTCTCTCTCCTCCTCTCTGTATATCTAAATTTCCAATAAAATAAATCTTTAATAAAATAAATCTTTAAAAAGGTTAGGATTTGGAAGAAGGTGAGGTAGGATTGCTGGCTTGATTGTGGGTTGGAAAGGCACCTCACTGCCTGAGAGGGAGAGAGACCAGAGACAGTGGCACTGCCTGGCCTGGGCAGCCACCTGCTCCCCTCTACCTGTTTCCCTGGGAACCTGCAGGAGTTACTCTGTGCATTGATGGGGAGCAGGAGATCCTAATTGTACTGGCTGTCTCGCTCCATTTTCCCATTCCCTTGCTCAATTGAAAGGGAGGAAAATCCGAAGGTCCCCAATTGATTGCTCTGTTCTAGCCGACAGTCCTAGCACACTCAGGGTCAATGTAGAGGGTTGGATGCTCTCCCACAGGGCACTGAGTTGGTTTCCAGCCCAGGCTCTCCTGGCTCCACTCAGCCTGTATTCTGCTGATGA